CGCCGCTGCCGCCGTCGACGTCGTCGCCGTCGTTGCGCGTCGTCGTCGTCGTCGTCGTCGTCACTTCGAGCCCTCCTCCTCCTCCTCCTCCTCCTCCTCCTCCTCCTCCTCCTTCTCCTTCTCGGCCCCATCGGGGGGCGCCCGGCCGCGTCCGAGCTCGTCGTCGCCCGTCGTGCCGCCGTCGTTGTTCGTCGTCGTCCCGTCGCCCACCGCCGCCCGCCTGTTGCGGCAGGTTCGCGTCGTGTCGGCGCGGCGGCGGCCCCGCCGCAGGCGCTCAAGGCGGAATGCCGTCAGTGGCCTGGAATCGGCCAGCACTCACCGAGCGCGTTCCACTACTCGCAGAGTGCCTATCGCAAACGTCCGAATAGCAAACGTCCGAAGGACAGGCGTCTGTTGCGATGGACTTTCTCGAGCATCCCCCGCGACGGATTCAGGCCAATTTGCGAGTAGTCCCTTGCGAGTAGTTTGCACGCGCTCGCCTCTTATACGGAACGATCCGACGTTCGAGAGGCCGCCCAACCGTGGCAGGTTTAGGGGGGGCTGGGTGGGGGGTGGTGGGCCGCGGTGTGGGGGTGGAGGGGGGGCCGTCTTGGGTGGTTTCTCTTGGTCCTTAGTTTGGTGTGCTGAGTTCGTGTGTTGTTTTGTTGTTTGTTTAGTTCTTCTTGTTCAGACTTTGATCGTGGCAGTGTTGTTTGCGCGGAAGGTATTTTTTTTTGGTTTTTTATTGTTCTTGTGTTATTTTACTTTTTTCGGAGGGGGGGTGTCAGGGGTGGTTGGTTCTTTTTCTTGTTCTTTTTTTTTTGTTCCTTTTTGTCTTCTTTTTTTTGAACGACCCACGCGGTGTCAGAAGCCAACGTGGGAGTCCAAGGTCCAAGATACGAACCTGCCATTTGTTGCATCTCCAGGGGGCTTATCCTGTCCAGGAACTGGCGGTCATGTCTTGCACTGCCAGCGTGGGTCCGGCGCAGACTCGACGCGGATCCGGCGCGGTTTGTACACGCGGATTCGACGTGCACTCGACGCGAATCCGAGTCGGACAGCTGTGGCGCAATGGAACAGGCGGGGCCTCCCGAAAATGCAAAACGTCGTCTTGCCAGGCGCTTGGACCGCGCGCAACGGCCCCGAGAGCTCAGCGGGCAGAGCGTCGCGGCGAACTTCGTGCTCACGCTCGAAGCAGGCGCCGCCAGCTGCTCGCGCCGCCCACTAGCCAACGGGGCGCCTGCGACCGATGCCGTCTTCCTGGAGCTCAGATGTCGGGGGCACGCCTGGGAATCCGAGCCTGTCTCCTCTTAGGCGATCGCAAACATGGATTAAGTGGGCGTGGATTAGCGACGGGTCCAGTTTCCATAGGACATCGCGGATTTCCACCGCCGAACGAGGCGGCATCGGCCGCATTTTGGGGAGGGCACCTCCCCCGATCCATGGATTTGGCGACCGCGCGCCAAGTCCATGGATCGCTAATCCATGTCTGTGCGCCCCCGAGATTCGGGCCTCCGGGGCCCGTTGGTGGGCACAAGGGCCATCAAACACGGATCCGGAAGCGGTCGTAACCTTGATTGAAAATATCCGATCGGCGGATGTGAGGGGTGAGGATTCGGGGTGACCGCATGGTTTTGGGATTTGGGTCCTTCTCCGAGGACGCATCGGGCGTCTGGGGCCTCCAGGGTCCCAAGACCGTGTGGTGATGGTACCATGTGACGAGATCTCTTGGGTTTTCGAGGTCACCTCACGGTCGCCGCATCGTTGCGGGACCCCTACGTTCCCGCAGCCCCCTCGCGCCGAGGGCCTCGTCCTCGATTGGTCGCAGTAGTTGGCGCCTCTTCCTCCTTGGCAGGATCTGGTGGAAGCGGAGCGGCAGCGGGCTCGTTGGCGGAAGCCGCCAGACGCAGAAGTCGGCCCTCCAGGAGATGCATTCTTTTTTGGAGTCGGGGTTTTCTCCTCCCTCCTCCTCCTCCTCCTCCTCCTCCTCCTTCTCCTCCTCCTCCTCCTCCTCCTCCTCCTCCTCCGCATCCTTCTCCCCTCCTCTTTCTCCTCCGCCTCCTCCTCCTCCTCCTCCTCCTCCTCCTCCTCCTCCTCCTCCTCCTGTGGGCGCAAGGATCAGCCTTCATGGGGGCCCCTGTTGGGCCATGGGACCGTCAGAGAGCGGCCCGGGATGGAGGAGCAAAAGCATGTCCCCGGAGAAGGGGCCGACGCTGCAGACAAAGTCACGGCTTCGGCGATCAGGGCTTGTCCTCGACGTCAATTTCGTTTTTGTTACTCCTCCGGGGGGGCGCTTCGGAGGCTCTTGCCAACGCGGCGGGGCGCGGCTCGACAACCCGGCCAGAGCGGCCCCCACGGCAGGGGCTCCGTCCAGGCCGCCCAGTGTGGGGCCAGAGCAGGGGTCGCAGGATCGGGCCGCATCGGCGATGCGGCGTCATAATCATCAGCATCATTATCTTCATCAGCAGCATCAGCATCAGCATAGTCATAGTCAGAGTCAGAGTCAGAGTCAGAGTCAGAGTCAGAGTCATAGTCATCATCATCATCATCAGCATCATCATCATCATCATCATCATCATCATCAGCAGCATCAGCATCAGCATCATCAGCATCAGCATCCGCATCAGCATCCGCATCAGCATCAGCGTCAGCGTCAGCATCAGCATCAGCATTATCATCATCATCATCATCATCATCATCATCAGCAGCAGCAGCAGCAGCAACAGCAGCATCATCGTCCGTTTTTCCTTCCTTGCTGCGCGCTCTGAGTTCCGCTCGCATCGCTTCTCCCGCCCGCCCACATACACCCTACGGTGAGGGCAGTGGAGAAGGAACTAGTGGATCAGGAATCCAGGGTCTGGGAGCCAGTTGAACACACATTGAAGCTTGGCCATGGATATTACCACCGCTGCTCCCATGAGAGAAGGAGTCCCCCCAGGGTCTGAAGCCTCCTGGTCGGGGGCTGCTAAAGGTGCCTCCCGTGTTTCGTTCAATGTTTGGGCTCCCAGGGCCCTCTGGACCTCGTTAGGGGTGCTCTGGAGGCCGTGGGGGCCTCCCTGAAAATCCTGGGGGCACCATTGGCCAGGGGCACTTCTGGCAGCACCCGAACTCCGTCTTCCTGTCCTCCTTTCCCCCTTGTGTTGATGAGTCGTGGGTTTCCACTCCTCATTATCCTCCTCCTCCTCCTTCTCCTCCTCCTCCTCCTCCTCCTCCTCCTCCTCCTCCTCCTCCTCCTCCTCCTTCTCTCCCTCTCTGCACTGCAGCGTCGTCGGCCTGCACGCGCCCGCCCGCGCGGGCTGCCAAACGCAACCATAAAGCAACTGATCTCCTTTTTTTATCTAACCCAAAAACTGCGGCTCGCAGGCAGGAGGGGGTTCAGCGAAGGGACTTCCTCTTGAGATCCGACGTAATTTCCTCCATCCCGACGTCGCTTGTGCATCTTCGACACACGGTCGGTGCTGGCCAGCCGCTTCTCGGCGCGACGCGCGAGCCACTTCCCAGCCCCCCAGCGTCAACGTTCCGAGCCTGTCCCAACCTCACGCCCCGCGGAGCGGAGCAACACGCTACGGTGGGGGCGTTCGTGAAGGAATGCGTCCAGGAGGCTTCAGACCCTGGAGGGTTCCTTATCCGATGGATGAGGGCGGCGGTGATATCCATGGCCAAGCTTAGATTGGAGTTCCACCGGTCTCCAGACCCTGAATTCCTTATCGAAGGTTGCCTTATCCAATGCCCCCACCGTGCCCAGACCCCGACGTCATGATTTTTCATTGCGTCGACCCCTAGAGTTCTCGACACATTCCCCCGGACCGGTTTTTCATCCTGAGTCGTTTTTTGACGGACCCGAGGGCCGGTCAGGGCCCCCAGAGGCCGAACATCGCACCCGAGGGGGTCTGGGTGTGCGCCCTCCGGGCATAACCTGTCGCCGGGACCGCCGCCGCGACACGCTGAGGGACACGGTGCGGTCTTCCGACCCCTTCTCCTTCGTCCTGCCTCGGCGCAGCGCGGGGGGGGGAGGGGGGCACGCGGCGCGGGGGGGGTGGGGGGGGGGCGTCCTGGCGGGGCGGCTGTGGTCGCCAGGGCGGGCGAGCGCCGTGGCTCCGATCCTCCTCGACCCTCCTCGATCCTCGATCCTCCTCGATATGGCTCAATCCTCCTCCCTCCCTCCTCCGCCTCCTCCGCCCTCCGTGTGTTATTTCTGCTTGTCAACGGGGTGGCCGCCGCCGCTGTGCCGGCACCTGCCGCACGGCGGGTGCGGAGGGTGGCGGAGGCGAAGGGCGGGAAGGTCGGAGGGGCTCGACATGTGCCCCAGGTCTCTTGGTCGGCTGGGGAGCCAAAAGCAGTTCGGCTCGGCGGTGAAGGTCGGAGTATGTAGCGCCCCGCAGTTGCGGGTAAGAGTGAGGGGGCGGCGGGCGGGGTCGCGGGCGGGTCGAGGCTGGGTCGCGGGTGAGCCGTGGGTGGGTCGTGGGTGGGTCGCGGGGTGGGTCGCGGGTGGGTCGCGGGGTGGGTCGCGGGGTGGGTCAAGGGGTGGGTCAAGGGGCGGGTCGCGGGCGAGGACGACGACAGCAAAGAACAGCATCAGCAGCAGCAGTAGCAGCAGCAGCAACAAGAACAACATCAATCCGCACCGCTGAACCCTCTTCAGCCACGCGCCCAGGGACAGTGAAATCCCGCTCGGCCCCCTCACTCTAGTGGACGCTCCAGCTTCCCCCATGCGGGGCAGGTGGCGCGTCCAAACTCGGCCACGCGCAGAGGGGGGGTAGGGCGAGGGGGGAAGGCTTCTTGGAACCACCCCTGCTTCATAGAAGGCGCCAGCCTTCTCCATAGACGTAAGGCCAGGGCCTACTAAGAATCAGGGTGCTGGTAAGAAGCCTTCCCCCCTCCCCCTATATACCCCCCTGTACGCGCCGCCAACCAAACACCGAGCTCCTTGGCCGACCGAGCGACGCTGTGCGCAGACTGAGCCCCTCCCGGAAGGCGCGCCGCGGACTCTTCAGGGGGAGGCCTCGCGAGGGCGCGGAGAGGGAGCTTCACGTCGGGCACCGCGGGGCGCCGCGAGGCGCGACGCCTGGTGGCCCAGGACTGCGAGCTCGCGCGCGGGCCGTTCGCGTCACGAGCCAAGCTCGGCCACGCGCAGAGGAGGGTTAGGGCCAGGGGGACCGGCTTCTTAGAGGCACCCCTGCCTGTCAGAAGGCGCGGGCCTTGTCTACAGATGTGGGGCCGGCGCCTTCTAAGAAGCAGCCTCCTTCTGAGAAGCCTCCCCCCCTCCCCCTGCCCCCCTTGTGCGCGCCGCCGACAAGCGAGAGGAGACCGTAGAGGGGTGCAGGCCGATGCTGCACCATGCAGCGCTCAGCCGCCCGCCCGGGCCGAAGCAGCGGCCCAAACGCATTGTCGCAGCACGCCGCCATCTGGGACGCCAAGAGCACGCGAAGCCTGGCTATCGCCAAAGCAGGCAATGGTGGAGGGGAAGGCGCGAGGGGGGAACGCGTGAGGGGAGAGATTGCCAGACGCACGTCCGCAGAGCAGCAGACACATCTCGTACTTGCATAGACCGAACCCTCCGGGCACTGCCAGAGGCGGCAGCCCGCACAGAGCTCCCCCACGAGCCTGGAGCTGACGATTCAGAGCAGGGCAGCACGCCAAGGTACACGGGGCCGAGCCAAAGGGACGACCGGGACGACATCGAAGCGGACGGGTGCTGCTGCGAACGGAATGGCCAGGTGTCTCAGAACGAGTAGCGACACGGAGCGGTGGCACGGCCCTCGGCCAGAGGCACCGGAAGCTTCACGTGCGTTTCTCGTTGCGCTGCGCCCCGCAGCCCCGCGCACGCCCTCGGCTCACGGAGGGACGGGCGGGGCCCGCTGGCCCGATGGCAGGCGGCCTTTTCCTTCTCCTCTCCCTGCCCCTGCGGCGCAGTTCGGCGGCACCCTGCTCCTGCGCGCGCGTGCTGGCAGGAGGGAGGGCCTCGGCCACCTTGCACCGGGGGTGCGCATCAAGAAACCACATGCGTTTTTCATCAGGGTCTCCTGGGTCTCTTCGCTCCGCGCGCTGCGCGGTGACTTCCTGCAGCCGTTGAAGAAGCTGCTGCGTTCAGGGTGCTCCAGTTCTTCCCTCAGATGCACTTCGCGCGCTGGTTTTCAGGGTCAGGCTTCTTGCGAGGGCGTCTTGCCGCCGCGCCCGCACTGTAGCCCAGGCCAGGCTGCAGAAGCGGCGTTGCCGCCGAAAGTTCACGCAGCGCGCCCGAACAAAAGCCAGCCGTCCCAACCCCGGCCCCGAGATCGCGAACAGGTGTGCTGCGCGCGCATATTCGGCATGGACGCAGGTGGGGCGGCTCGGGCGGGGCGGGAAGGCGGCGTGGCCGCCAAGAGCCCCCTCGGAGCGCCCGACGAGAGAGCGATCTGTCCCAACCACGGGCCCGAGATCGCGGACACGCGGCAGGGCCGCAGACGGGGCTGCCCCGAGCAAGGCGGGAAGGCGGCGTGGCCGCCGAAAGCCCACTCGCAGCGCCCGAACAGAAAGCGGGCCCGAGATCGCCAAATGCTGTGCTGCGCGGGGCAGCACGAGCGGGGCGGGACCGGCCGCGGCGGCGAGGGAGCTGTCTGCAAGGGGCAGGGCGCCCGGCGCGCCTCGGGCCCTCCCGCCGGCGCGGGGCGGGCCCTCCGTGGCTCGATTCGGCGGCGAGCCCAGGGGGGGAGGTTGGTCAAGCAGTGGCGAAGCGTCCTGGCGCGCCTATAGGCCCACCAAGCATTGTTCTAAGAACCTGTTGCGGTGTCTACAGCATGCTATCGGAACATGTTTGGACCTCGGGCGTCTGTTCTGAGAGCCTTGCTCTTGTTCTGAGAACGTTCTTGGGCTCCGCGTCGCGAAAGGGGCCTTGGTAAGAGGGCCCGCTGGCACTACGAAGATCATTGCTGCATGGGCTGCGTCTGGAAGAGGGTGTCGCAGGCCCTAGACGACTTCGGCGGCATTGGCGACGGAGGCCTTGCCATCCGGGAGGTCAAGGCGCACGCGACGGTGAAGGATGTGCGCGATGGGGTTATCTCAGCCAGGGACCGCCGCGGCAACATGGAGGCCGACAGGTGCGCGAAGTTTGTGGCTGATGCGGCGCGGGCCCCAAGCGACCTCAGACAGGCGCGGCAGCGACGCGCGCTCACGCTGGACGGGGTGGTCTTCTGGGTGACCAGGGCTGGTTGCGAGGCCGCCGGCTTGAAGCTCGACGTGGATTTCGACTTTCGCGAGCAGCGCAAGGGGCCGCAGCTGCCCATCACCAGGCGCGACCTCATCGAGCTGACGGGCGGAGGCACACACTGCAGGGTCTGCCTCGGGTCGGCGTTCACGTCCCAGGGGGCCAAGCGTCTGCTGGGCGACCCGTGTATTCCGAAGCCCTTCGCCGCCGACGTCAGCGGCGCACGCCGCAGGCCAGCGGCCTCGGCTCCCCCTGCGGCCGGTGCTGCGGCGGTGGCGCTGGCGGCAGCCAGGCGCCTCGAGGCAGAGGCCGGCGGCGTGCAGGACGACGCCCCTGCA